TCTCTCTTGTACTCATGTCGGCGTTTACGAATTATTTATGTATTCAGTTTGGAATATCTCAAACAAACTCAAGTGCAATTAAAATTTTAAAACGATATTGTATATTTATATCGTTACTATTATTGCTATTGTAATGAATATTATTATTGTTGTTATCATTATTATTGTTAATTATTATCAGAAACTGTGATTAAGTGATATTTGCCGCGTTCGCAATAGTATTGATCGTTTTAAAGAATATCGTTCGCTGTGATTGTAAACTGTGTGAAAAGGGAAAAATATTGCTGTTATCTTCATAAATAGAATTGTTCTCGATTAAAAACTAATAATTGAAAAAATACGATGAGTAGTTACAAGGAAATGAACAATGCAAACAAATTAGCCGTGAACGAAAGAGCTCAGCTAACTCCATACACTCAGTTGTGGGACGCAGTTGGTGAGTGAACTGATAAATGGATAGTGAGCAGTTGCGACGACGGGTGTGAGCGGGTACAAGAACGGGCCAACAGGCCATGAATGGATTATGAGCTAACAAACGAGACGGAGGAGATATAAATGGACAATAGATCAGTGAATTTGCAATGTGTAACATACATTCCACAATCCAATATTTCACTATAAGAGAGTTGTAGGTCTAGGGAAGAAAGTTTATTCGGTCGTTTAACGCTGAACCTTATGCTTCAAAACAGGCGCTTAAATGGCCATCGCACAAATGTCGTCGTGATGAACTGATTAGTGATTTAGCATAAGTACTTTTAAAATACGTTACAACCTGCCTACAGAAGCAGTTGATCGTATCTTGCTCTACGCCGTTGTTTGGCAATCTTTTGACTACACCATACTCAAGTGGAACCAGACAAAATGCATGTAAAGTGTAGATTGGTTTCAACTTCTCGGTGAATTCGGTAGAAAGACGAATCCACTTTGCAAAGATTTTAAGGAGAAAATTGCTTCAGAAGAATGAATGGTGATATGTAGAGAACAAGTATTCAGTCTTGACGAAGAAACCTCGAAGGGGAATGAAGACACGGATGAAAGTCTATCAGCTCCGAAACAATTGTCAAAACTCATTGACTATGATCCAGCCAAGGTGAATCTGTGCGAAAATTCCAGATCGAGCAACATATTCACTCATTGTGTGTCAAACTCCTCTTGGTATCGTGTAATGTGCGGGAAAAACATTGAAATAAGTGATCTTTAGGATATAACCGCGAAGCAGTAATGCAGTTTTAACGGTAATATTTCATCGAAACACACGAAAAATAGAAAATGCGTAACGTTCGGCGAGAAAAACTGAACAAAATTCTAGAATGACAATAACATAAATTTCTTCTTCTTCATCTTCTGGAAATCGTCTGATTTTATCACTGCAATTTCAGGCCAAATTACGACTCACAGGAATCGCTCGGTGAGAAATGCTTTTTTTCTATTCATCATATTGAAATTACCAGAAATATTTCGTTCATATGATAGTAAATGTCGTCGGTTTTCGAACTGTCTTCACACAGTATTTTCATTTTCTTCTTCCGAACATCCATCTCGTTAGCAAGGACCATTCGCAAATGGTTCTCATCACCGTGAGCCAGGTTCATTATGAATTGCAAAGGCTGAAAAAGCGGAAGGATTCAACTGAAAACGTTGGCCTGTGGGGATGAGAACGGCAGCATTGTACACTTCGGATAGGATAAAATAACACTGAAATTTATCCGTAACATTTATCATGTCCGCAACTGTTTGCTATGACACATTTTTGCACTACAAAAACAAATGTATAACACTGAAAAATGGAATGGATGGAAAAGAGATTCAAAGGTTAGTGCGTAATCCACATATGAGGATAATCTTGATGATGTCCGATCAGAGTGATGGTTGTTTTAACGTTCGATGCGTTAGAACGGACCTTTGTGTGAGCATGACAGCAATAAAGATGTTATAATGCTGTAGATGAGACAGATTCGTATTTCGGGCGAACGAATTTTTAACAAGGACCAGAAACCGATTTCTTGTGGTGGAATTGATCCGAGTAATATTTGGGTCAATTGTGAGGAGACAATATATTGGGAGAGTACATTCCAGACTAACGATTCTATTTGCGAAAGAGAGTCATGTCACGTTTCATTTGCAATGTTTGACAGCGAGTTTAAGGGAATCATTTTGATGGCTTCGTTCATTGCTTGAGGAAATTCGAAAAATTCTTTCACTGGTAAATCAAACTGACGTTTAATGATGTTGTAGTCTGTTCAAAAATCAATATAAAATCTTCGTAGTTCTAAAGTTTCTGATTCTAATATTGATAATCTCCATTGGTATTCGGATAGGTTCCCACATTGCCTCTTCAAGACGAAACGTATGTGTCTTATTCGAGCATTGTTAACAACATTAACGTAGCGTTTGTTACCAAGAGGAAGAGGTATATTATAGGATGGGCGAATTCAGGTTAACTACTTTGCTTAGTCGGGATAAGGTAATTGCCCAAACAACCTCCTATGTCGCATGCTTGTAATTTTATGTTTAATTTAAGTATGGATACTGAATAAAACGGTTTTTTAGAATCGAAATATGTAGTGTCGGTGTAGCCTTTGTAGTCTGAATGAGATGTACAATTTTGCTAGGATCAATATAGAACCGCAGTGATTGATCTCCTATCTATAAAAGCACATTGGAAACGGGAAAACA